ACCAAGGTATATATTTAGGGTATGGACATTTAACATATGGAATGTGGTTTTATTCAAAGGTACCAGGAACCAGTTTTCTGAGCTCATTCAGCAGAAAAATGATAAAACTCTGCTATGAATCTCATCCATGTTGTCTTTTAATAAAAGCTGGACACAGACTTAGAGTGGAATATTATAGTCTTATTATGAATTCACGGACTGCAATCAAATCATCCTCAAACTACTTAATATTGCTCCAGCAATATAAACCAAGGGTCATGCAGAAGTATTCATACCCCAATGTTACCAGGCCTGATTATAAAATAGAAGGAAAATCTTACATGATTTTAAATTTCTTTTACAAATCTAAAAGGTTAGATGCTCATTCATATTTTGAGCATTTTCACTCTAAAACCCCTAAATAGAACCTAGAGCAGCAATCTGTCTGCAAAAGTCACCTTAGTGTTAAATGGCATTTGTCTGTGTTTAACCTAATCTCAATATAAATAAAGCTGTTCCCTGAAGGCCTCTATGATTAGAGAACATTAGTTAACAAACAGCATAATGGAAGTCCAGGAAATAAATCAGACAGGTCAGGAAAGTTGTGACTCTGGAGGAACTGTAGGGATGCTTTTATTATGTAGGGACACATAAGATTAATAGAGTTTGTAAGAAAAAGGACAGCCTTCCATATATGGCATTCCTGAAGGGGAATGGAATGGTTTTGTAAAAGCCTCGCCATGTGTTAGAATGGACCAGTCAAAGTCAAGGATGAAAGCCTACAGTCGGTTACAGATTTCCATTTTTCTACATCCTGTCAAACTTAATGTTTTTGGCTGTAACATAAAATAAGAAAGGCAATATAGAGTAGTTATGTGAGAGACTGCAACAAACAATAATCCTAGTGTTAATGCAGTTATGCAGGGACAATCAAAAGAGATCCTGGGATTAAATCCAGTCATAGGGTTTCATTTCCTCTCTGTGCATGTACCAATATCAATATAACTAAATGGTAAATGGCATGTACTTATATATCGCCTTTTTTCAAGTTAGGAGACTCTCTGTGCATGTACCAATATCAATATAACTAAAGCAAATAACAGAGGGAGGGCATTAAAAAAAGATCAACACCCAATGATTCAATGGTATGACATGAGATGAGGTAATCATCTTTATGTCAGACCAATTTAAGACAACAGATGAGATTTCTAGCATTTTTACTTTCACCGATGGATAAGGAAAATGTAAGTAAATGTAGACCATTGTTTTGCATATTGGTGAAGTGGTCAGAGAGGAGGAGTTTCATGGATATTTAAACAGAAGTTGTTAAAGGACCTCCGGGCAGAGGGAGTCGCTTTTTGACTGAGAAGCTTCATCTACTGTAGATAGTAAATAACTAATCAGCTGACAGAGTTTCATCAGAGGATTAAAGAAGCACCAACTCCTGGTAAGACACATGATAAGGCTTTTACTTCATAATATCTATACAGTCAGGGTTTTAAAGACATTTGTATAAACCAATTTATTTTCAGCCCTCAGCATTTTTGACTTTAACCCTTCCAGTGCCGGGTATCAGTGACTGTCTAGTAAGCTGTTAAGTCAGTGGTTTTCCCTTCTGTAGAACAGATCCGTTTTATTAGTGTAAACTATTTTTTTAAAACTGTTCTTTAAGCTGAAAGCCAAAATCAGCAAAAAAAAATATCAGATACAACTGCTTGAAATCTAAAACTGTGTGGAAATGTAACTACAGGATGTATATTACTTCACCATTTTAACGAAATACATAAAATAACTTGACATTTAAATTATAGGCTTACTCTATTTTTGTTATACGCAACTATATCGATTTAGTTCGAAATGCATTGTGCCTTCATATGAATTTAATATAGGCAAAGATCATTAAAACATAATTAAACTATAATAATATAATGAAAAGTTTTCTATAGTGTTTCTTCTCTTTTTTCTTTTTGTTGTCACATAGTTAAAAAGCCTTCATCAAGCGAAATCAGCTTGAGTTATTAACTATGTCTTTCTTAATCAAATTCATGCTCAAACTTTACTTGATTTGTGGATGTCTGAGTTTTGAATTCTACTCTCTGAGCAGCAGCCCCTCTCTGTCCTGGAAAAAAAGTCTCTATCTATGTAGAACACCAATTTCAGCTGCTAGAGTTCTTAGACTGTGTTCTGCCTTCCTAAACGAGAGCCTATAATATCCTGACATGGGCAAAGTGGATGCTGCAACATTGCAGTAAAGGCATGTGTTTTTCTTCTAGGTTCGAAAAACAGCACCAAAAAAACGAAGGCTTAAAACAGCATTATAAGACTTTTAAATGTGTCAGAATATCAACTAAATGGTATCACACAAAGATAACATGAATAAAAACAACTTCAGCTTTAAATTATGTTTTCATATATAAAGGGAAATCTAAACACAATAGAACTATGTCACAGGCAATATCCCGTAAACCTTATAAACTAATAACTGCTGCCATAACTACCATTTAGTCTTCCACATTGCTGTTAGTTTTGACATGCCTTGTTGTGAATAATAGTTATCCTTCATAAAAAGACTTGTTAAACCCTAATATACTTATATTTTTTAATTATAATAGACATCAGAATCACTTTATTAATCTTTTGCTGGAAATTCATTTCTTGCAGTGCACCCTTTTAAAGAACAGAGAAAAATGAGATTTAAAGCACAATAGAGCAAAAATAATATATAGTATAAGATATATATAAATAAGTAAAATAGTCAAATAACAACACAGTGTAAAATTACACCCTTCCCATATAAACAGTGTAATATAAGATATAAGAATAAAATAAAATAAGGATCACAGTATATACAATCGATAGTATTTACAATGCTGCTCAGTACCAAATAACAATTATTGCACATGACTCTGTTATTGCATATAGAGAAGTAATGAAATAAATAAATAATAAGTAATGAAATTAATTGATGTCAGAGAGATGAATTATACAGCTTGTTGGCCTTGATGGACTTCCTCTGGTGTGTATACATGTATATGTTTCAATTAATTATAGATTGTTTTCCTTACTCATACTATAATACAGTAGTATAAGGTATAAAAGTTTAACTATTTTTATCTCTGTCAGGGGTCACATTAGCTAAAGCAAAAAATGTCAACTTTTTAAAGAAATGAATAAATCATCTTCACTGACACCACAAGGTTAAACAATCTAAGGAGAAAGGAAGTGAAAGATTATAGGCCGCCTATATAGATAGAATGACACAGTTCCTCTCCTTGGGGACTAGATTTGATAAATGGAGCAAAATGTCTGTATCCAGGCTGATTAGAAGCTGCTGTGACACCTAGATTAGACGCCAGTCTATCAGATTATACCCAGCAAGGTAACACATAAGTTTGCTGATGGTGTGTGTGACGAAGTGGACATGCCTTTGCAAGGAGTGCGCCCAAAATCAAAAGAATTGAATGTGTTCATATGTCAAAACTCTTTGTTCATTCTGTGCCGCCATTGTTAGAAGAGCCTCAGGGCTTATTTCTATAACCCTTTCTATGCTTGGATAAAAAGAAAAAAAAAAGAATTTAAGTTTAGTTTTCATCCAGTAATATCTCCCTTTAAGAGGATGTTGTTATTACTATGAATCCATTCTGGGTCAATCCTACTATTTAATGCCTTTCAAGTCCTCAATGACATAATGTCCTATATTTTGTGTTATGGCGAGTTTATACTTAATTAATTAATCCTATCAGATATGTTTGATAATTAATTAATAATGAAACCTTATTTGAATTAAATCTTATTTTTCCATCTTATTTTACAAACTCAAGTTAGTATTCATCTATTGAGATTGCAATTCAAATGCCCACCTCCAAAGCAACCTCTATTGTCAAATGACATGTAATAACAGTTATTTATAGAGGAATAACATCTACAATGTCAAATAATATCTTTATTTGAACTTTTTTTGTGTGTTTTACAATGGCTGATTGATGTAGTACAGCTACGTTCATCCTATTACAGTTGTTCATGGTAACAGGGTAGATACATATAACAGGGTGGACTTAAAAAGGCAAGAGAAGTATGTGCTTTCTATGTCAATTCCTATTTAATGCTAATTCATTATTTATTTTTTTAAGTTATTTACAGTTTTCAAAAAAGGATTGGTAAAAAATATAAATGTCAATGATGGTGAGGATTGATTTAGACGCCCACCCTGTTACATCTGGTTCCTCCTGTTACCTTTATCTTTTTATATTAACTAAATAAAACCAACAAACATCCTGTTTTGTTTTGTGAATAGTAAAGTAAAATAGTAAATAGTAAAAATCCAATCAATCAATCAATAAAATGTTTAGCAAAAGTTTAGTTAATATTTTTTTCATTCATTACGCATGTCCTGTAACAGGTTAGACATTTGATACTTGACTTTTGCAGAGAAATAGCTTAAAAGCAGGACAGTATGATATTCATTTTCTTATAGTTGAAGAGGTCCTTCATTATAGCAACAAAAACATTATATCATATTACCATGGCCAAATATAGAAAACCAAATAAATTATCCATTTGGGGTTAAAAACATGAAGGGTCACAAACACGGTCTCTTCTTTTAATATTTATTCAAATTCAACAACACTGGAGGGGCTTTGAACATGAACAAATCATTGAAGGTCATACACCAGCATTAAGTCCAAACCTAGAAAACCCTAACTTTGTTTCGTCAGAGGTCAACTTCGTGGAGTGAAGAGCATCACTGTGCTGTTCTTGTTGTGGGTTTTTTCTAATTTTCTTTTCAGAAGTATTTTGTTCTTTATCTTTTGTTATCCCACACAACATTCTTTTTCATTTTTAATACTCAAGATGATTTCTGGCAAATGTGAGATGGATTTGCTGGTGAACAACCTGAGAAAATTGTGTTCTTCTTCTTCGTGTAGCATTACCGCCACCAACTGGTAAGGAGTGTAGAAAATTGTGTTTTCTGGTGAACCATCAGATAAAGCGGAGGCAGCATTTGGGGCAAACCAAAGATGGGGGGATGATAGCCCTCACTGGAATACAATTTATCCTTAAACTGACAGTTTACTTAATTATTATTGTAATTTTTTAAAGCTATAAAAAGGCTTTTCATTTAACAAAAACATATTTTTGTTTTAAACTAAACCTGACAATAATCTAGGACCCCCCCTCCGACAGCAGTTAAATGGGTGTGTCTGTTGTTGCTCAAGGTTTGCTCTCTCCCTGTCCGTCCAGCGCTTTCCTCTGGTTTACACTCTTCAAAAAATGTCTTGAACAGGCTATCCCTGCTGCCTCACATGGCTAGGAGGTCGACAGCTAACTTATCAGACGGTTTCATGGTTGGACTAAGTGAAAAGAGCAGGTGAAGTACGGAGACTGAAACCCAGTAGCTAAGTTAGCATCGTAGCTATTAGTTTCATTGAAACTTTAAGCTAATGTACCTGAGTAAGCTATTAGCGGATTGCTAACTCTGCAAAAAGAAGTAGAGGAAGTTCACCACTTTAAAGGAAGCTGAATAATTTAACGTAGTTTGATCGACATTTAACTGTTTTGTTCTGGTAAATGTGTTTGCTGTGTTTTTAAAACTGTTTGTAAACTAAACTATTATCCTGGACTGATTTTTTTTCTGTCTACATATTGTATATTACACTAATTTCACAGCCTTTCTGTGTGTCATTTAGTAACAGAGGAGAGAAGGTGAGCAGGGACCACCATGGAGGCTGCATTCCCCTCCTTCCTCTCTGCCTCTAACCATCTGTCCTGGTTCATCTTTGCTCTGTTTACTTCATGGATGATCCTGGGTTCAGCAGACACAAAGCAGACAAGATGGCCATTATACTCCCAGAAGCCAGTTCTTCTGGTGTGGAACGCTCCCACTCAGGAGTGTGGGACACGACGGGGTGTTACGTTATCATTGGACCAGTTTGACATTGTGGCAACCCCCAATGAGGGTTTTGTCCGGCAGAATCTCACAATGTTCTATAAGGAACGCCTCGGGCTTTATCCCTATTATGAGACTGACGGTGCTGCGGTGAATGAGGGGCTTCCACAGCTTGTTAGGCTTATCGAGCACTATGAAAAGATGCCTCAGGGTCTAGACAAATACATACCAGACCATCAGGCCAAAGGTCTGTCTGTCATTGATTGGGAGGAGTGGCGGCCCCTGTGGATCCGAAACTGGGATGCCAAAGACATCTATAGAAGGAAGTCGCGTGAATTGGTGGCCCAAAAAAACCCCAAGTGGACCCAAGAGCAAGTTGGGATTGTTGCACAGCAAGAGTTTGAGCTTTCGGCTCGCAAGTTCATGCAAGAGACCCTGAGACAAGCTAAAAGTCTGAGACCTAATCAGCTGTGGGGTTTCTACCTGTTTCCTGATTGCTACAACCATGACTACAAAGCCGGGCTGAAGAACTACACAGGACGTTGTCCTGCGGTTGAGATAAAGCGCAACGATCAACTGAACTGGCTGTGGAAGGAATGTACGGCTCTTTTTCCCTCTATATACATGGGTTCTGTGCTGCGCTCTACAAATCATGGACGCTTGTTTGTGAGGAACAGGCTGAAGGAGGCGATGCGCCTTGCATCTGTAGGGAATGGTTCGGCACGTCCTGTTTTTGTGTATACCAGACCCACTTACAACAGTGAGATGACCCTTTTAACTGAGGTTAGTTGATCACTTCGAAATGTCATGAAGGGATCTTTAACATTTATCAATCAAGGAGATTTTGAAACCTCATTCAGAGGGACTGATACAAGATTTGTAGGTCTTGTTCAAATTTGACATAACCAGTACTGATTTGAAGTTTCCCTGTGATATAGGGGCTCCTTATTCTTTTCTGTTGTAGAATCTGTAGAAAATACAGTTAACAGTAAAAACAAAAAAATCTTCAAATTCAAACTGTGATCACACTGCAGTCTAATCTGTTTTTTCTATGCTAGTCAATTTCCCATGCATCTCTGAAGGAGTCGCCCTAAAGCAAAAACATAATAAAATACTGCATTGGGCCCTTAAACCCTCAGGGTCTCTTGTAGTTGCTAAATCTTTACAAGTCTATTAAAACAAGTCTATAAAAACGTTAGATTTGCTTGAGAAAGATTCAACGGTTTAAGCAGATTTAAAATTGTTTTAAGTCATAATAACTTATGAGTTTACTTCCTAATTGTTAAAAGAATAATCTTATTTTTTTATTATGTTTTTAACTAATTTAAAGTCGGATGTTATGAGTTAAATAATTTCTTTGGGTTTTAGCTTTGCTCACAAATTAATCTAAGCAAAAGCATGGGAGGAGGACACAAGTTACTTGGTATCTATTTAAAAAAGATACAATTTTTAAATTTACATTTGATCATCTCAGTTTTAGGTCAGAGAAAAAAAATAAAGATTCAATATTTTTTTTCTCCTAGTGCTGCTTAGATTACTTTTTAATTATGGCTCAGTGACATGAATGCTTGCTGAATAAGAATCAGCCTCATTGGACAAGTTAAGAATAAACAAGATCTCTGATGTCTATTCCGTTCCACCTTACTTTGAATGTACAGACATTTTAAATGAGAATAAATAAATTTGTTGGAAGCATAAACAAAATTGTTCATTGTTGGGAGCCAAAACTTGAAATGTATGTGTGTTCATAAAACGTAAACGGATTACATCTCAGTATAATTCATTTTGTGTTTATCAATTCTCTGTGTGAAATATTGGGGGGAGTTTAAACTAGTTGCTTGTCAGCCCCAGTTAATTTGATAAATACAATACATTGTCTTTAATCCTTCACCAAAAAAATGAGAGTTAAACTAAAACTAAGCATTAAAATGATAATAATAAATAAAAAATAGCAAATCAACCATTCAGTCTATTTAAAACTAGCTGAATTAACAAACACGTCTCCAGACTAACAGAAAAAATCCTAAGCCCTTATGGTTTGTGGTATGCTTAAATATAGTCTTTGTCTGAAAACAAGTTAGTCTGGAACATGTTTCTAATAAAGTAGCCCACAAGGCTTTGCTTTTTTTTATCTCTTACATTCATCCAGCAATTTGGGTACATTTTTATAAACTTGGGTAAATTGTTTCCATGATGTTGTTGTTGCAGATAAGACAATAACTCTGGTTATTGAGTTAACTCTTGGCATTACTATTTATATGACTACCATTTAAAGTGCTTTATTTTACTGTAACTTGTTGAGTTGTATACTTGAACACCTTTTACGTAAACGCACCTTGAACAACTAATATGTGTTTGTACATCCTTCGCAGAGAGATTTGGTCTCCACCATTGGTGAGAGTGTTGCCATTGGAGCTGCGGGTGTGATCTTCTGGGGGGACACCTCCTATGCAAGTAGTGTAAGAGCACTAACTTCCCTTGCCCTTTGATGTTCTATAGGCTGCTGTTTCTTTGCTTTTGACGTAAAATATTCTCCGTCCTTTAGACCAGCTGCTCTACCTTGAATAACTATCTGCTAGGACCACTGGGCCATTACCTCCTCAATGTGACCAAAGCAGCGGAACAGTGCAGCCGGATGTTGTGCAATTTTCGCGGCCGCTGTCTTCGTCGAGCACCGGATAGCGACGCTTATCTGCACCTCAACCCCTCCACTCAAAGCATAATTTCTCAGGGTGGGAAATTGAAGGTCAGGGGATCCCCTGGGCAGGAAGAGCTGAAGACTTTCCGCATGCACTTTAAGTGCCAGTGCTACACCGGGTACAGGGGTGATGGCTGTGAGCAGAGAGAAGGAGGGTGGAATAGAGGCCCCTCCATTTTAGGGACCTGGCCTCTCTGCTTTCTGCTTCCACTCGGACTTCTCTCTGTTCTTCACTGAGGAATCTAAGAAGCTGAACGATTCACCAACTGTGCCATTGCTCAAACAGAAAGTTTTGGTAATCTGGCATAGAAATGAAATGAAGTTTGTTGTGCTTTAGGAGCAGCAGGTACTCGCTGCTGGATTCAGAGGGTTTTATTACAGCGCAGACTGAAGTAAAACCACAGTGTTTGTTTTCTGGAAATAATTTTTTTTTTTTGTATTTATTTTATGAAAAATAACAGCTCATTTAAAAGCTGGAAATTTGCATAGATGTGTAGCTGATAATAGTGTTGAAACAGTAGATCTATTTGCATAATGTCCTAATTATTGGGCAAAGACCTGGTTAAATCAAATTTTGAATGGCAAATACAGCCTTAAACATAAAATATGCCAGATTTCTAAAAAAAACAACAAAAAATTATCCTTATAGAAACAGTGTAGCTGGACCTTCCTGTTTCACCTTGGTTTTGTGCCTTAAGACGTTTACAAAGTGCTATTTTTATATCTGCCTTTTAAGACCAAATTTTCCTGTTTTTCAGCTTGGTGCTTTAAATAGTGGTATTACACTAATGCCTTTCAGCTTTTTGGATTCTACAGTCATATCAAGTACATTGGAATAACGTTGAAAAGGTCATTCGGATAAAAAAGGAATAAAATATGTACTTAAAGTATGTTTAAAACCTTTAATTTGACAGATGAGCTTTAATTCACTGAGGATGACTTAACTGTATTTTGATATGCAGAAACGAATAACATTAGTTTACACGTTTTTTAAACTGTGAAACGAGTTATGCCAAAAAATATTGTATTAATTGGCATTCAGGTAATGTCATTTCTGCCTTTGTTTTATCTTATTAAAGGTTTCATTGTCTTAAATCAAGTTTCAATGTTATCATAAAGCACAGTTTTATATTAATATTAAAACAACTTCTGATGTCAGCTCTTCATGATGGGAACTACATTAGCTGATGGAACAGGTTCATATTTCTAGACTGGCTGGTCCTATTTCTGTAAATCTTCAGTGCACAGACAGGTCTGCAATAGTGTCTTGTATATGTAGCTCATTCCTGAGTCTGCACTTTATATACTTTGTAAATGAGGCTTCATTGTGTATTTTTTCTTGTGAAAAGTTGTGTCCTGTAAGCCTTTGGTCTGTGCAGAGCAGAACAAGATGCTTTTACCATTATGGAACTGTATCCCACTGTGTGAATTTTGTCCAAACTAGTGGGAAGGTTATTGGTGTGCATTTCTAAGCATGTCTCCAAATTTTGGGGGCATGTGATCAAAAAGCTGAACATGCATTCCTCTGTGCCATTCTGTTTTATAAGCAGAGTTGTCTCAATGTTTATAAGACTTACTAGAAATATAACAATTCTATTTGCCATAATATACAGCATTCTTTTTTTATCTGCTAAAATCGAAATGTTATGTATCTTAAACATTTCATATTTTAACCTGGATAATTACAATATTAAAAATATGGTTTCTGCACAAACATTTTTGTCTTGTTTCTTTACTGCAAAGAGAAAACATGGACCTTTGGCAACAAGCACTTAGCAGATCACAGTAAACCTGCTTTTGTTAGAGCAATTATTTTTGCTTTACCTTTACTAAGGTCAGTTCAAGTTCAGAACCATAGTTGAATGCAACTAGAATGGAGTTTGGGGGGGGGGGGGGGGGGGGGGAATCAATTTTCACCAAATAAACTACCATCTAAACTTGTCTTCCTGGGGCCTGTTTCAGAAAGGAGGTTAAGTGAAAACTCTGAGTTTGTTAACGCTGAAATGAGGGAAACTCTGGGTTTTCTGTTTCAGAAAGGGAAGTAAGTTAAACCTGAAAAAGCAGAGTAAGTCAAGCCCGTTTCTGAAAGAGAGATAACTTATACTCAGAGTCAGTTACCATGGGAATTTACTCTGTGAACCTAACCTGGTCGGGAGCAGGTTTTCTTCAGAAAATCCAGAGTTTATTTTGGTCTCCTCCCCTTTTTTAAAGAGGAAGTGGTGTTTAAACACCTCATTGATTCTTTGGGGACATACAGTATTCATTGCACACATTTCAGTCACGTAGAGCGCATCAAAGGGAATGAAATGGCATGTCCTTTTATGGATGATCCTGTTTGTAAAGCCAGGTAGCTACTCTACTCCCATGATGTGCTCAAGGCTTACCTGCTTGAAGTATGTGTTTATATTTCATTTTCAGCTGCTGCCATGTTCTTTTGATGCCTGCAGGATTGCACCTATCCATGAAAACTAAATTAGGTTTAATAAAATACTGTTCTTCCAGTTTCACCTCTGATATTATAACAGTTGGGTAAGTTACTCTAAAATAGTTCTTAATTACTAACTACAAATTTTATCTTCAACAAGTCTAATTAGATTAATGTAATAATTACTGTCTCTAGAAAGTATTGGTCTACTTACTGATTTGTTTTACTTACTTATTAATTACTTTCTAAATCCCAAATCAACCTCAACCACTTGAACAATACAAGGAGAGAGAAGAAACTGCACTTCTAATGCTTTCAAATAAACAATATTCAATTGCATAAATTAATCTTAAATTGACCAAAGTGTGTAACTAGAGGGAGAAAGTTCAAATCAAAATATACCTTTTAAAATTTGATATTAAATCCACTATTGTTTTATAGTCTTTAATTTAATTACAGTATTTATATGACTTAAGTAACTTAATTTATTACACCCAACACTGTATAAAAGTAATTAAAATGTAAACTTACACATTGACTCGAGCAGCTATTTTCACCCAAGCTAACTCTCTCTCCTTCGCCGCTGCAGCCGTGTTGCTTTTTTAAAAAAATACATGTTCAAATTCTGCATATGCTTGCATAAGCACATCCAGTTCTGCTGGTGAGAAATATGCACACCTTTTTTTGTCTGACGCTGTTGCCATGGTGACTCGTAATATCTGTGCTCCATTGATAATGGCTTTTTATAGTTGTGGTGCACACGCTTAACTCAGAGTCAGTCAATTTAGAGTTGATTGAACTAACTCATTTCAGCTGTCCTGAAACCCAAAACCCAGAGTTTCCAATCTCAGGATAAGTCAACTCAGAGTTCAAGTTTTAACTCAGAGTTGGTTGAACTTCCTTATTGAAACAGGCCCCTGCTGTCTTAGGAAGAAGAGTTATCTTTTAAGTCAAGTGCCAAACATGTCACTTTAGCAGGGTGTTTTCAAACATGTTACACACTTCACTAATTAGGCAGATTCTAATTTAATATTATTACCAGAGGTTTACATGGAGGTTGACATTTTTCAAGGGATGATTTCTCATCGTTTTTAGCGGCTAAGTTGTTAACTATAGTCGGTAAAAACGAACATTGTTTTTTTTTGTTGATGTTTCATAGTTATATCTCCTCAGTTTACGGTACTACAAAAATTTAAATAGAAATTGTTTAGCCTTTTTACTTTGAAAATCTTAAACGTTTACATTTCCTCTACAGGAAATGACGTAAGAGTTTGCTATGTGTTTTGTACATCTCATAATAAGTTCCGACGAGAAACACATGGCTATGGGCAGAACCTTTTCTCGATATTAAATGTATGTGTCTTTAGATTGCTTTATTTAAGTATTTCCCTGGGTTCAGTTTAATGAAGAATTGGCATTATTTTTAATTTTATTTCATAAAATATACAACTGTAATTATTTATTTTTGATTAAAAAAAGAACAAGGATTAGTAGCCCTCAACCCGAAGTCTGTCAGCAACGATTCCCGCAACAACCAGACATGGAGAAGACCTGACGATAAACCAAGTGCTGTCATTTCTAAGTGGAAAAGGGTTTAATTATCTCAAATTTGCTGGTATGTATCCTCTCTCTGAAAAGTCTCCCTCGGTGTTCAATAGAACCGTTAACATCAAGAGAGCTGCTGTTAGCTTAATGCATAATTGGCTAATTAAGTGCTGCTGATGGACTGCGGTAAAATACAGTGAAGCCTTTGTTCAGGAGGATTAGCCCTAATGGTGTTCATCTCATCTGCTTAGCACAGGTAGCAACCTCTACACTGATAAAACTTACTCGATTTATTTAAAGTGCAATCTTTTATGTCCTATAAGGAGACATCAGCTTAGCAGAGCACTGATTTGTGGAATTCTGGGAGTTTTTATAAGATATGGGTAAAGTATAAGAGTAAAACAGGTATTTACTTAATAAGAACTGTACTTAAATATTTTTTTATGTAAGTAATAGTAAAATTATCCTCCAAAATTAACTAAAGTAAGGGTAAAAGTGTATTTTCTAAAACAACTACTCCAGTGTAGACGTAAATAAATTTAAATATTGAAAAAATATTAGAAACTTATAGGAACGTAGTAAACATTGACATCGTTATAAAATAACAAATTAAAGCTAAAGGAAGAAAAAAAAAAGAAGAAAAAAAAACATAATTTTTTTTTTCAGAGTATAAAGCTTTTAAACTGAACAATTCCAGAAAGTGATGCATATGTTAGACAGGGACTAAGTACATCTACTGTATACATGCTGTATATTTACTTGACCTTCAAATGGTTCAGATTAGAAATGATCATACATTATAAGAAGTCATACTTTATAATAATACTACTCGAGCAGATTATGATGGATCATAATTAATCTGCTCCCACATTGAGTATCAAACATTTAGATGAATAGGAATGCTTGAGTCCCTGCTGATTGTGTGTAAAGATGACTGGATGTTTGTGTTGTGGCAATATTTAGCTTGTAATGAAAAATATTTGAGCAGAGCTTTGTTATTATCTTTGCACCTCTTTGTAATTTTTTAATTCTCTGCATTGAAATCAGAGTTTTTCCATCACGATTCTGCGAAGAAAAGTGGCTGTCCTTCTTTGTACCATATATTGTTGATAATAACTTATCAGACTTGTTTTCTGTGTGACTCTTATCAGTCTCACAGTTTAGTTTTAGGCTTTCTTGACATCCTCTCAAGAACCAGGTTAATATCTGGAATTTGACTGGTCCAATTTGATTAATTTTTTTTACTTCCAAGCTATCATCTTGAAGACTTCTGTCTACACATGATACCAAATGTAGATCTCTATCTACATTTGGTATCATAGTTCTGTGTTCAAATGGCTATACCTCTTGGACGGTTTGCCTTACATTTCACTACACCTGCTAAATATAGCCAAGTGTAATCTTCAAACCTTATCGAAGTTTGCAACATTGCAGCTGCATATGACTGCTTGGATGCAATATTTGATAAGATTGTTATGCATGTAAATTCCACCTTTTTAGCAACATCTAGTATTTTGGATGGTCTTTTACTGCGCTCATTTATGCATGGTTTTAATTGCTGAGATGCTAAATGAATGTAATTAGGGACATGGTAGAGAAGTAAAAGAAAGAAAGGAGTCTAGAGAAATGGGATTTTATAATTAATAACATCATCAAC